GAATCTGTGAGCACCTTTTTTAAAATTTGTTTTTAAAGTAACTATATTATCAAGAAAAGAGAAAAACAGCGATTTTCTGTATTTGTCGATTCAGAATTTTTTCATTGTACTTAAATTATTTTTCGATAGGTGAACGCAAGAAAATAAGCAAATATATTGGGTGATAGAGATTTTTAAGCTCTATCAGAATCTATAACTGTTTTTTTTGAATAGGTAATCCTATATGGATGAAAAATTCAAAGAACTAATTTTGACTGGAGAAAAAAAATAAAATTTTTGAGAATCGCGATATAGGGGTGTCTTCGTTGTATGCCATTTATTTCGGTAACGAATAGATCTCAACAAAAACATAATTATACAACATGATAGAGAACTCCGCGGGCTTTCAGAATATGTAATTTGTATTTTTAAAATGTACCTCTTTAGTTCAAATACATTCGAAATACAAAGTCCAACTTTTGCTTTCCAGGGGTATAGATATTTATATTATTTTCATATTTTCTTTCTTGTAAAAGTTCAATAATCGCGAAAAATAAAAGAAAATCACGACCATGCTCAATTCTTGACAATGGATCAGCCACTATTATAAATGAAAGTAGAACTAAAAAGACACTATATTACATAAATAAGGATCAATCAGTTCTAGTTCATCCAGTTAGATCAAATGCACTATGAAAGCAGTTGTTCTGATCGAAATTTCAGAGCTCATCCCCAGTCTTGAAAATTTTTTGTTTTCTCTAGGGGAGTACGAGTATTTTATCGTTGTTTGTTGCTCACCTATTTCAAAAAAAAACTCTCAAATCATCTTCCTCCAAATCTAGTGAATTTTACCCTGCTATAATTTAGTACCGTGATAGGTAGAGTTGTTTTTCGTACTAATATCAGTCTAAATGATCAAACCAGAGCAGATCAATAAGTCATTTTTCTCTTTTCTCAGCCTATAACAGTCTAATCAATTGTTTGATTGACCATATCCATCTCTTACGAGGGAATCTATCCGATTGATAATCTTCATTTGAACTCATAAGTAAGACTGATGGTGCAGATAAACATCTTGAAAAGATTCGTGTCACTAGACCTTTCTTCTTGAGTTACAGCCATTTTACTAAACTGCAAACTTATTGTAGGATATTATGAAAAATTGCAGCGAGGGATTTCAGCGTGAAATTGTCCCTAACAATAACTTTCATGGTCACTATGATATCCTGAAAGTTTCAGTTATAACGGATGATTTCTTTCTGAGATAATATGTTTGAAAAAACGTTACTGTCACACCAGAGCTCCAAAAAGTGCCCAGTTTTTAGGTATACAATATCTTAAGAAGAAATAATCCGTTTATGATGAAACTTTCAACAGATCATAATGATCATGAGAGCTATTATCAGGAAAAATTTCAGACCAAAATATCTTGTTGCGATCTTTCTCTTGATATTCTTCAATAGGCTGGAAATTCAATACATTGATCGTAATTGGAGAAAAAAAGTCTAATAGCAAACATATTTTCAGGGCTTTTATCTACAGTATGAGTTCTACCTATGAAGTCAAACATAGATTATAAATCGGATAGGCTCCCTCGTTAATGAGCTCAGGGCCGACGTAAAGCTTCTAGGTCGCTACTATAGCGTTTTTCACTGCTTATTACTTTTATTTTTATTGTTTTGGTCATCTATCGGTAAACAGTGAACTTCATAGAACTAAATATTTCCTTTATGTATTGATTAAATAATCATCAAACATGAACATCATTAATTTACTGTATACTCAATTTGACTTTCATGTTATATTATCTTTGTTATCATTTTTCTCAGCAAGATATAACTTGTATGAGTAGTTGGAAACTCCAATTAAATTTAAGAAAAATCGACAACTGTTATACATTGAAAAAAGCTCTTCAAAAAAAAAATACTTCAGTAAAAGTTACATCTTGATTCAATATCAGATTTCATAGAAAAGTGTTCGCTCAATAAAACGATCGACTCCAACAATCGGTAGCATGCTCGAAAACGGACTTATGGAGTGAACAAAAACCTGCTCGCTTACCATTAAAAATAATTCTTCAAGTCTTTCGAAAAGTTTCTCATTACTCTCGAACAAAAGCTGAGACAAGATTTCTAAGTTCATATTAAAAAACAGCACAAATTTATAGCTTTTGACTCGTCGGAAATGCTTTTTAGATGGTCAAAAGTGAACACGCATCTTGTTTAAAAGCTTTCCAATCATCCGTTAATAATCTAATGCGTATTTTTTCACTGAAATAGACCTCGACATCAAGAAAAAGAATGCTTGATTCATGGAGAAAAAAATCTTCATGATCACATTTTATGAAATATACAAAAGATTCTCATCAAAATTATTAAAAGAAAAGTTGCGTCTACCGATCTGTAAACATGATCATTATAATTCTGTTTGGATTACATTTTGCATTAATTCTTCTTTATGCTCAGTTGCTCACATAAAATCAAATTTATTAAAAAAGAAAAATTTATTTCGTTTCAACATATATTCAATAATAAATAGTTAAAAGAGCAAATAATACTAAATTCACAGAAGAACACAAGTAGAACTGTTAGTTATAGGCTGTCGACGTTTTTTATTATTTTCTACACCAACACCTAATGAATGATGTCGTTCACGTTGTTCACAACCTATTTAACACAAAAAAAAAAAAAAATTCTTCTGAACAAAATATAATCAAATAAAACCTACCACGCTTGTAAACTTCACGATTAAATTTTCCATATGCAGGATTTCCTCTAAGAACATGTTTGAATACAAAAAAAAACAAAGAATAAGTCTTCTAAGACTACTTACGTATGTAAACCAGGTTTAAGTTTAAGACGAAAATGAGCAATAACAGGTTTGTGATCAGAATGTTTTACATTTTCAATGGATTTATATTGTGTACATTGAATTTGTAATCCTGGTTTATCTCGATATATAATACGATCCTTAAAAGAAATTTCTTATATTGAAATATTTGTTTAATCAGTATTATAAATGAATCTCTCAAAAGTTGTACAACTCTTAACACTATTCTTTCAAATGTTTGATAATTCATAGAGATCTATTATGTCTTACAATATAACAATACGTCATATTAGACTAATGTCCGCGCCAGAATTAAAAAGAATTTTAAAATAATTTTATGTTATAGAGTAACAGACAAAAAGACATATGAAGATCTCCTCTTTCGATTGCTGAAAACAGCAGGTTGCTGATATTTACCGTTGTCGAGTTATGGCGGTTACATTCGTTTCTCTATAATCATGACATGAACATTAATGTCGTGAGCAGAAAATCGTGGGTGAAAAGGCAGTGTCGTACAATCTTCGGGCAAATTCATGAAATAAAGTGTTTATGATGGGAAATTTTACGTTTTTCTTTCGTCTGGTGGTAGAACAGTGCTTCGTTTAGCCCACCATTGGTTACATCATTCTGTCAGACATGAAACCCATTAGCCAGAATGATAATTATAATCGCCTACATAGCCAAAAACGGTACTCTATACACTGTCGTTTACACAGCTTACAGTCGTAAATAGTTGTTAATTGATGTTTGATAGATGCAGTATTACGACCGTATTTTATCGTCCCGTACACAGTTGATAACGGTCTGAACACAGAGTTTTGCAGTATATGGTTAGGGTATGGTAGGATAAAAGTGACACAAAAATATTTAAAGTAGAATTAGAATGTTGTTTCTATTACTAAGAGTTTTTTGACATGTAACTTCAAAGACACTCCTGATATCTTTCTAGTTCAGAAGAAGTTGATCAGAATGTGAAAGAAAAATTAATTTTTGGTAAAAAAGGATCTGTATTGAACTGGTGGGACAAATGATCATTGAACTATTCACAACTTAGTGTGTTAGAAAAAAAGTTATTGAAAGTTTCAGCAAATTCAGGTGCAAGTGAACATATTTTCAGTGTAAGCGGGAGAGTTTTGGGAGAGGAAAAACAACATTGAGCGACGACATTGTTAACGATATTTTATTCTTACGAAACTGTTGACTTATGTGATAATATTGTATTTGATTACGGTTGGAAATCCATAAAATATGCTAAAACATAATGAAGAGAACTCTAAGTTGACATTTGCCAAAAGCACCAAATCTTCGGGTAGGATATAGAGTACGAAAAAGTCTTACCTTGCAGAATTTTGTCTAAAAGTCGAGTATCCGATCGTTAATAATACACTGAATTAAGGTTGTAATACTACGTCTACTAAATGACGAAAAACTGATCTAAAACCATGATGCTTATTCGATTTAGGAGACTTTCACAATGATAAAGAGGATTTTAAAATTATTTTCAGATTTGTGTCAAAAAAAAAAACTAATATTCAATGATAAACAAGTTATATTAATAAGAATTCATCTTTTCTATTAATCCATTATATTTTAGATTACAGATGCTTATTAACGGAATGAATTCTTCTTACTGTATATGATGGTATTCGATTTTTAGCATAAGTATCATCGTTAGAGCGTAAATTAAATTTATATGTCGGAGGAAAATCAATATTCGCTTCTTTAAAATCACAATATCGATCACCTTAAATAAGGATAAATAAAACTTATGATCTTTTAAAATAAAACAAAAATCAAATGTTTGTTTTACCTGTTTTCTGTTGTAACATACGAAATTCATCTTTAAGTAAAATTTCAGCATAATTGTTTTCATTACAATGATCTAATGCTTGTTGATGGTTCATTTCAATTCGAAAATTCATATCACCAGCCCATAGAATACAATCACATGCTTTTGTTATATCTGAGAAAAACCCATATAGACTAATATATCAAGAAAAGAAAATCATATATTTAATATAAAATTTACCTACACCTGTATTCTGAACAGTATCAAGTGATACTGTTGACTCAGAACGTTTTAAGGTTTCTTCATCAACTAAAGATACTAGAGATCTACTTGGTGCAATAGCTCTTTGAACAAATTCATGTGGTATTGCTAATTTGTCTAATGTATTTTGAAAATTTAATCGTCGATTTGATCGACCTTCAGTACCCTCACCAGCTAAATAAAAAAAATATATTTAAGAATTTGATAAGCTGTAATTTATATAATCAAACCATCAAAATGTGAATTAATAATCATAAATGATGTACCAAAAAGATTAAAAGTTACAACTAATGAACCTTTTGTACGTATAGGATTCACAGCTCGAAACTTAATAATATCTTCTTCAGGTTCTAAAGAAAGCACAAAAAAAAAGAGAAGATTCAATTTTAAATAATTTGAATCTTTTATTTTTATATACCAGTACAATACCAAATTAAATTTCTTTGTAAAAATATGCATAATGATAAAGTACCAAAATGAACTGAATGAAATAAAACATGATTTTGACCAATAACTTCTTGAAGTAAAATTTCCCAATCCGTTCTATGTCAACGAATGTATAGGATATAGATATAAATATTCATATGAGTTGATACCTATTTTTTGATGCAGACATTTCTTGTGTACAAACAACAATTAAATCAGAAACATAATCAATACATGTTGGTAATAATATATCACACATATCATCTAGCATACGTTCTTTTGGTTGAGCTGTTTCTCGAGCTGTTGGTGTAAAATTTTGTTCATATAATTTTGGTGCTTCACCTGTATTCCATGTTACTACCATTATTGTCAATAATCGTCCATTTGGAAAACATGAAGATATATCATTCATAGCATTTTCTGGTAATTGTCGTGAAGATCCAACAAGAAAATTTCTATCGTAAAATAAATTTTTATTTAATACAAAAAAAAAAATAAAAATCAGTATTTTTACCGTCTTCGAGCATCACTTGTCGACAGTAGATGAGAATGGGCAAGTGTTTGAAGAATCGATACACTACTTCGACGACGGGGACGGTGTGGAATATTGGCTATCGGTTCAGTGGCAGCTTTGGGATCTGCCAATGGCGTACTTTTGACCAGTTCTGCGATAGTACTATTACCCTCAAATTCTTCTAGAACTGCTTCGAGAGAAGAAGAAGGTTTATGACTTCTTGTTTTATGTTCTTCAGTTTCATTGGCCATTTTTATTTTTTAGCTATTTAGTTAAACATAAGTAGAAGTCGAAATAAATTGTTCTTTTTTTTTCTTTTCATTCTAAAGCTTAAGTAGTCGATAGAACGAAAATTGATTTCTTTTTCTTCCTATATTCTTGAGATTCGATCGATTGAATTATTTTGTCCAACATAAACGTATAAGTTTCTATAGAAACAAGATTTTCGATTAGAAAAAATGCTTGAAAATATATTTCGTTCTTATTAATCAATAGCCTTGCAATAAGAAATCTAATAGTTCGTTTTAAGATATGATATTGATTCGATTTATTAGCAATGCTGACCAATGCCATCTATCAATCCCTCTTGTTTACTTATCAGACAATATCTTGATACTAATCCTGATAGTATAAATAAGATTATTTTATTGCTTGTATTTTATTTCTTTTCAACAAAAGAAAAAAGCAGTTAGTAGAATATTTTTAATATTAAAATAATGTGAAACATGATCGATCTGCATAAAGTGTAAATCAAAGAATTCTGCAAAATCAATATATTGATATGTCTGTAGTAAAAGTCGTTAGGCGTAATATGTTACAATGAGTTTAGAAAGGAGACCAAAGACAAATATCTCGAATTTAATCTTCTTTCATAATAATATGACAGAAAAATTTAGTTCTATGGCTTAGTCTGGCACAAACTACGATAGACCAGAGAGATATTAAAGTCTTGGTCCCATTCAGTGGGGAAGGGGTAGAGGACATCCAAACTTCTATGTCTATACTTCAACATTCCTTTTAGATCATGTTTCACAAAAATATTATTTACAATTAGTATAATAAGCATTAAGAGACACACATACAGAGTGTCCCAAACGTCCCGACAGATAAAAAAATTGAATATCTTCATTGCACTTTCATCAAATGAGCTCATTTTTTTGTGATAGAGGATACTTTACAATTTTGTTTCATAAGAAAACCGTAAACAGATAGTACCTTTAACCATAACTTTCGACTTCAATATCGAAGTGTACACATTTTCGATTTCAAAAAAAGCACTTTTGAAGGAAATTTCCCGAGATGATTAACATTGGTCAAAGTGAGGTCTCACGTAGACTAGCTTTTGTAGAAAATTTCAGAACTTTTGGATATAGTCTTTCCGAGATATGAATTTTTCAAATTTCGCACAATATCGATAGAAAAGCGCCTACATTTTGAAAAATTCATATCTCGAAAAGCCTATATTCAAAAATTCTGAAATGTTCTACAAAAGCTAGTCTGAATGAGACCTCGATTTGGCCAAAGTTTCAGGTTAAAATTCGAAACTCTAATTTTCTTCGAAAAACTGGGGTCAAAGGGAGATCATCCACTAAAAATTCCATATGTCAGCCAAAACTGCACAAGAGCATGAACCTTTTGAAGGTTCTTATGATCTATTGGTCTCTAGCAATGGGAAAAATATGGCCTCAAAAGCTTCGAATCATCGTATGGGCTGAAAAATCTTTTAATTATCTCGAAAACGCTCCCTCGAAAGCATTTTTTGAAAAATCGAAAATGTGTACATTTCGATATTGAAGTCAAAAGTGATGGTTGAAAGTAGCATCTGTTAACGGTTTTGGGTGTGGAACAAAACTTTAAAGTATCCTCTATCACCAAGAAAAAGATGAGCTTATTTGATGAAAAAGCGATAGAGAGATATTCAATTTTTTTTTATCCGTTGGGACTTTTGGAACATCCTGTATATACACAATATTACGGTATTAATTTCAATTCTATACAATCCCAGGAAAGGCCTGTTTTCCAATTTCCATTATTCCAATTGCGTATTCCCATAAAAACTGTTGAAAGTTCATAAATTATAATATGACCCATATTAATTGAAAACCAATGATCACCATATTCGAGTACATAATTTCGAAAATCATTTTCAGATATTTTACGAATTAACATTTTTCCATGCAACGGTACAACAGTGAATTCCGTTTCTCCCCACATATTAACATTATGTGAATGACTTTTCATTCGCCAAATAACTTCATATTTTCCAGGTATAATATCATGTTCAAAACGACCATTTATTTCAAGCCAACATACTTGTTGTAAACGAATAATACGACCTATTAAACTATCTTCATCATTAAGTTCGACAAGATAATGATTATTACGATGAATAACATTCATATTAACAACTGAAGTTCGTTTTCGATCAATCAAATAAAAATAAATTAATTTCATTAATGGAATTTTTAGAGAATTTTTTGGTTTTTTAAATTGAAAATATTGTAGCTTAGTTAAAAAAACTTCTTTTGATATATACATTTTAGCATGACGCTTTTCAATAGCTTCATCATTATAATGTGTAGCTGAATTTATTGCAGCAAGATCAAGTTCCTCATTGCCTCTGACATGATCGAAACCAGATGAACGAACTTCATCATTAGTTAGAATATTTTCCGGTTCTTCAAATATATCTAATGTATAAAGTTTTGCAATAGCTTGAGGAAATTGACAGTTTATACGATGAATCCAAAAATTATTATCATTCACTAATGTATGAAACGATCGACAAGTTTTACTCAAAGAAATAATATCACGAACATTTAAATATTCAGTGACAGTTTGAAGAATTTCAGGTGGAAGATGAAAAATCCAACATATTTTCGATGTATTATCTGTTGAATTCTCATCGGATGAATTTGAAACCCAAGACATAAATGATCTAAAAGTGTTATGGATCGATGCTTTAGCCATTTCAATCTAGAATACTTTTTATTAAACAACATAAAATAAACATAGTATTGATCGTTTTTCTTCGTTTCAAGTTGTTCTATTTTATTAGATAATAATCATAAATGTAAAATGAACACAAAAAAAATGGTATAGAAGATACGCACACACTGTTATATTTGAAATTTGCGACAACTTAAATAGGTTTATTTTTCCGCATTTAGTATCTCATGTTATTTTATTTTTGTTCAATACAAACTGAAGTAATAGAAAGATTAAACAGACAAATACGCACACACACACAAAGAATATTATTATTGTTGTATCACGACTAAAAAAACACTGAATAGTATTATTGCGAGTAAATGTAATGATGTTAAACGACTATCGTTGATAATATAAATATAAAAATGCATCTTCATTAAGATTTAATTTTTCGAGTATAGCACGCTTATAAGACGGTAATGTATTTTTGATCATAAGACGGCAACTCTCTTTGAGTAAAAATGGATTACGTGCACGCCATGATAGATACATATCAATTGGTTGCATACGTTGAACATGTTCACATTCGAGTAATTTTAATATGACGGTATTGTTCGTCAGAATAAGATGACCCATTAAAATAAGATTGTCATAAAAGCGAACGATATATTCATATATTTGATTAACTCCTTCGCCTAAAATATCATTAAATATCGATATATTTTCAAATGTGTTCATTCATTCTCACCTGCACTTTCAACACTATTATAAATAGCCCGAAAATAAACATCTAACAAGTCTAAATATTTAGTAAAATCAACTATTTCATGATATTTTAGTATAGTAAAAAGAAGTGATGTACGTAAATAAAGAATTGGAATTCGATCATCATTGATTGTTAAAAATTGTGCCTGTAAAATATGTAAAAATCGTCGAAGTAAATCTCCAATATCATACATTTTTAATTTTGATGTTGGAATAGCATCAAGTATTGTTTCTAATACATCAAATGCTTTATCTGATTGAATTTTATTTTTTAACATAAGATTACTTAATACAGTAAACATAAAATCACTGTTAAGTTCTTCCCATACATGAGGTACAAATAAACGTAATGCATCTATTTGATCATTAATAAGACATTGTCGAAGTATATCACCTTTTTTCTGTAATAATAATGATTCATCATAATCTGATATTGCTTTAGTATTTTTAAGTTTATCAAGAAAAACTTTTACAACACGAGTACGATTAAGTCGAATAGCATCTTGTAATGGAGATTTTTCAAAATCATTATTTGCATTTAATATATCACTTCCATGTTCAGCAAGTTCAATAGCAATATCTTCAAAACCATATTTGACTGCAAGTGAAAGTGGACTATCACCATATGTTACATTAGCACGTGTTAAACGATTATTGCTACGTGCGTTTGATAGATTAAGCTCTCGTTTGAGATGAATATCAGCACCATGAGCCAATAAATAACGAACTACTTCAATGTGACCTTTATGGCTAAGATAAAGAAAAAAATAAGATAAAAACAATTACATTAATGTAATATTTTTTTTTTTTGTTTTCGAAAATTTCTTAAAAACATCTTTCATATATATATAAATGACTTACCTAGCAATACATAGTGGATAATCATTATTGAATAATTCATTAACATTAACATGTTTTTCTTCAACACATCTTTTTACGAGTTCTAAATGATTAAATTTGCAAGCATTATAAAATAATTCCATAAGATTTTCAGTTGAATTAACTGCATCATCAATAGTTAAACCAAAGAAGAAAGCTTGTTCGAATGAAGATTCTTGAGGCTTTGAATTTGTTGCTGTTGTTGATTCATTACTAGTCGCCTCTTGCGTTACTGAATTAGTAGATGTTGATGATTGGTTCATATTGTTACTATTAAGTGTTGTGTTGTTGTCTTCCAATTGCGCATCATTACCGTTGTTAGTAGTTGTCATTGTCGTCTTGTTCGTTTTTGATCGATCGGTAGAGAGAGAAAAAGAAAAAAAAATTATCTTTGTCAATAGTTAGATATACAATATATAGTCGGTAGCCGAAATGAAACAGTAAGCGAGGAAGAATGAGTAAGACGTGTTAATGGTCAAACAGAACAGTAACACCCATCAATCATCTATAAATAAAAAAAAAGGCAACAAGAAAAAAAGACCAATGAATAAGGCCGCAATGTGAGATTAGATGGCACACTACGCCGAACGAGAGAAAAATAAGAGGTTAGTAATTGAATGCCTGTTGCAACGGTGAAGAAAAAGTCGTCATTCGTTCTCAATTATTCTCTTTGTTCAGGCGTCGCATATGGACGTTTGAAACAGCTGTGCTCAAACAAAGCAAAAGGAAAAGAAACACTTTAAGCGATACAAACGGGGCAAAACGAGATATACAATTATGTATATATTAAACTAAATGTGCAATGACTATTAGTACACATAGAAACACTCATTTGATCGTTTAAGGTAGTAAAATGAATGTAATTCGAGATCAAAAAACGATATATATATATATATATATTGTATGTGTAGGGAACGTTCTTAAACAAATAAATTCTATTTCTAAGTTATTATCGCCATCATAATTGAATTCTGTTGGGAACACACATTCTTGAAAGACAATTGACATGCATTTCATAATCCTTCTATGTTGTCTTTACTCAGAAAACAATAACTTTGAATACTTGAAACTTAATTAAAATGCATTGTGCATATTTTTTTTTCTACTGTCAAGTGAATCTTGATCAAGTGATGAGGCTTAAGTCAATATTATTTGTGTGTGCACTCCTATGACATCACCATGTACTAATAGTGTTCATAAGCAAACTAAAATAGTACTAAAAATAACAAGCAAATAAATAGATATGATACTCTTGTTTTAATTTGTTTTATGTACTATTATGAGATACAATGAATAGACTGAAAACTTATTTGTCATATTTAATATATATCTCGACGAAAAACATTTTATATATCTTACTTATACAATTGAGTTTCTTTCATCTTTCATTTCGCCTAATTATACTATATGTCAAAAAAAAAAATTGAGTGCATATGGGTAAGTCTAGCATTTCTATTGCCTAGTATGTGTGTACATGTGTGTAATAAGCATGAAAAAAACCTATTAATAGTTGTGTTACAAATCACTCGTACTATTTAATGATCGGTCAACTACATCGACAAATATTCATCTTCAGTGAAAATATATAATTGAATAACAAATCGTTCTGATTCAATCGATAAACGATAGGTTCTTTGCATATATTTTGTTTTTTTTTAATAAGAAAAGATGTTTAGCAAAATATAGACAACATATTCCATAAATTGAAAGATGTATAATAAGCTTAAGTAGAAAGGAATTAAAAGGAATACAGCTTTTGTTGTTTATAAAAATGGAAAATCAAGAGCAGTGTATTTGAATATAATCCAAGTGTGCATATAATCGTATTCAAGGTTCACTACAAAAAAAGGCTTAAAAGCCTATGTTTACTAGTCCACCTCATCAACGCCCGTTTCGACGGAATCACCTACGTATACACTTTCATGTTTAGCTAAAATACGAAGTAATGGTCGAAGTTTAAGCCACCATTGTTCAAGTGGCATTCGATGTCTAGATAAAAACAAATAAAGACTAGATTAACCAAAACAACATTAATTATTTACTCGACATCAGTGTTGGATTTAAGTGCTTCAACAGATGTAAATTCATTCTGTCGTTTAATCAAACCTAACACGACAGCACTTTTAGCCGTATTACAAACTACTTTTCCTTCATCTGTTGCTGCATTCTCAATTAATGATACTGCATATGTAACTGCTTTACATCCTAATTTTGTACCAAATGCTCGATCGAATGGTGATGGTAAGCCACCCTAATTAAATTAAAATTTTAATTAATAAAATACGATAAAAAAAAGAAAACTATCTTAACTTACTTGTTGCATATGACCAAGAACATTACTTCGTGCACTAAATACACCTTTACCTTCTTCTTGTAATAATTTTGTTATAAAATCAGTTGAATAATGCTCATTAGCCATTTCATTTCGAAGTAATAAACCACGTTTTAAATGTCCTTCCATTTTTTTACGTAAATGATCAACATCATCAATTAAATCTTTTATTGTAAATGGTTCTTCAAATATATAGGCTTGATCAGCACCACTAGCAAGTGCAGCCATTGTAGCTAAATAACCACAATAACCACCCATAGTTTCAATTACAAATATACGTCGTTTAGAGCCTTGAGCAGATTGTTTGATTTTGTCACAAATCTTAATTAACACAAAAACAAAGAATAATTTTTTGTTTTGTTTTATTCTATTCATTTTGAATACGAACTTTAACGATTTCATTAAGTGCAGTATCAGCACCAATACTAAATTCTGTACCAGGTACATTATTTGAAATTGTAGCAGGAATACAAATAAGTGGAATTTTAAATTCTGGATGTTTACTTCGTGCTTCATACATTTGTAGAACCGATAAATAAGCCTGAAAAAAAAATAATAATTTAATAAATAAAATATTTTGAATTCTATTTCTTCTTCTCTTTACTTCATATCCACCAATAATTAATAATGCATGAAAATTAAGTTCACGAATTTTTTCTGCTATTAATGGTAAACCAACTTTAGCTGCACTTGTTCTAAATGAGATTAAAAGAAAAAGAATTTATTTTTAATATATTCTTTTTTTTCAAAAATCTTCATTTACTTTTGACAACCAAGTAATGAACCTCCAACACTACTCCAACCATTAACTGCCATCCATTGTAAATTTTTAACCTAAAATTTATCAAATAGATAATTATATTGTTTTTTTTTTAATTTCAAAACAAAAAATTTGATATTTCATACTTGATTATTGACTAAACCTTCAAATCCATCGAATATAGCAAACATATTATGTCCTTCACATAAACCATAACGTACAATAGAACGTACAGTTGCATTGACACCACAAGCAGGTGCACCAACATTAAGTACAGCCAAATTAAAAGAGTGCTAAAATAAATTATTAAATTATTAAAGGAAGGAAGATATTATAAATATTTTTGTATCTCTTTGTCTTTTGAAAGAAATCAAAAACCAGCGAAAATGCACTTCTTGATCAGTAAGAAGCAAACAGGGAAGAAAAATCACAATCATGCAGAGAATTTTCAAAGATTATTTTTTCTAGACCTATACTTACTTTGGCAACCTGCAAGTGAAAACAATTTTGTGTAAAATCAAATTTCCTATTAATAAATTGTAAAATATTGTCTTTAGTAATACGCGTATGCATATAATCCTTCTTCATGATAAGTTTCAGATCAGCTCGTTTTAATGTACCTAACAGTACATGATATATTACTTTGTAATTATAATGTACTTCTGAACTTTAATCATCTTCATAGAACATGAGAGATAGTTTTGTTGACTATAAAAAAATGATAGAGGTAAAATAAGATTCAGAGATTTATGATTCGATTCTTCTCATATATGATAATTAGAGATGTGCAGGGCTAACTTTAGTCCAGGTTACCGAAACTATGGGAAAGAAAACTTGTGAAAGTTGAAACTACAAGAAAATAAGTTGTCTTAATCAGAAATAAAGATTACAGTAAAAAATTTTATGGTTTTAAGCAAATTATCTTATCACATGCAATGAAAAGTCATTGCACAAATGTCAAACCCATATACGACTAATTGTTACTGCTTGTTCACAACAAAAATAATACGTGACGAAAGAGAAGCACAAGCACAACATCTTTGCAATTTCTATCGTGATTCTTTTAAAAATTCTGTCAAAATTACAGTAAATTATTTTAAAAAATAAAATATTCCACGAAGGATCAGTCTCGAAGTAGCCGTTCGATGAAATTATTTAACAAAACTTTCAAAAGCATTGTTAAATCTGTAAATAATCGATATGATCCTAGTTAACGTAAAACTATTTCACGTAATTTTTGTAGAAGAACATCGATCCTTATCAGAAAGCGTCGAAGGGCTCCGGATATGGACAATGAAGACCAAAAGATGCGAGCCAGAAAAAACTGCAGACAATCGTTGTAATCTGATTTTTGATGATAAAAAAAACCTACAAATGAAGTGAAGATAATGTAAGCAACAATCAGTTTTTTATTCTACTGATGCAGCTACAGCTTCTCCAGATATAAATCCTTTAACCGGCTGTGGAACATATATATTCCACTTTTTTGTTTTCGATTGTAAGACTATAATAAACTAGGATCGATGACACACCATAGACGGAATTAATTTCTGGCTACTTAAGTTCAAATAACAGTGTTTATTGGTTTCTCCAATAGGAAGTTTTGAAGAAAATCATCACTATGAAAAAAGACTCGCTAGATACGTAGAAAACCGAAAGGTTTCGTATATGATTTGTTTCAAATTTGAGTTATACTTGCACTGTCATTTCTGTAACTATAGCCTCGTTGCTTACTTTTTATAGCATATGGTTGTTACCGCATCCGTTTTATACAAAACAAGCGGATAGTAGCGCAATGTATTTTAAGTAAAACAGATGAACAGATCAGCAATACTGATATCCCACATGTAGTGCTCCAGTATTGTTGGCCTAGTCTTCGTGTATGATAATCTAGATCACTGTCTATCTGTCTATATCATCGGCAGAAGTTGTCCATTCAAAATTCGCCCATTAAATGGTTAAGCTTCAAAAGACGAAAAAATTCGAACCGGATACATATCTTGATGAATATATCAACAAAAGACTTCTTTCTTTCATCGAAAAGTATTATCAGAATGAAAATTCTATTCTGCAGAGTGATTTGGCGAGTGCTCATTATTCAAATGTTTCTTAGAAACGAGTGAACAGGAAGAAAATATTATTCGTTCACTGTCAAGAAAATTCTTCAAATATGCTTCAAACTCGTCCAATTGAAACCATTTAAACTCCACTCGAACGAAAAGTATATGAAAATAATTGAGAAGCAAAACAGGTTGGATGCATTAACTCGAAAAATCAAACAGAAAGCAAAAGAACTAGATCAAAAAATGCTTCAAGACATGGTTGCAGATATTCTGAAAAATCCTCGCGCAAAATAGCTTCGTAGCTTGTAAAATGACTGACATGTAAAGCTCGACATTTGTCCAAAGACTTTTGCATCGCACGTTACATCATTCTAATCAAAACAAAATTCAAGAGAAATGATCCAAAAAAGTCTGAGTCGACATCTAAATAAGTGAAAAAAAAACAAATATTAAAGGACTTCTTTAGCTGTGATCCAAATAGATCCTGGAATAGTTTTCTCAAGATCAAGATTCGAACAGCTAAAATCATCGGAATCTACACCAGATTCGATTTATCGACAACATGATGGAAACCACTAGCAAATAAGTTACTTAGGACTCGGCTAGATTTATCCGATCTATAGCCAGGACTAGGCTACATTTATCAGAGCTATGACTGGAACCGTGGCACTAGATTATAGTTACCTGGGCTATGACTGAAACAAAAAAAATTTGTTTCGGCACATCTCTAATGGTGATACATTTTAATGAACAATATCTCATCATGAAATATATATGAAGACATTTAATCTTGCAGATATTATTATAATACTTTTTAAATAAGTATTCTATAATAATTTTAAGAAAAAGATTAGTATTTCAAATTTTTCTTGATTTTGAATTCTTGTTAAATTTTGTTGATCATAAAATTAATTCATGAGCTGGAAGTGTAAATGTTAGAAATAATCAGATGTGAAGTGATACACGAATTTATTTACTCGGCTATAATTGTTTTCTTTTAAACTCAAAATTAACATACGAAAAAAATAAAATAAATACCTGCTTATTAGAAAATAATTTTGGTCGTAATTTACTCAGACGAATATATGTTTCAAGATTTCCTTTGAAACTTCTACCACGTAATTCTTGAGCTTCTTTAAATCGTTTGGAACTCATTGCTTCAGCAACAGCCGAAGTTTTTTCTACACAATGCATTAATGGCACACGAACTGTTTGATTACCACTAAGAGCAATAACAACTGGTTGTGATGTTGGAGTAGCTTCCATTAATGCAAGAACAGCTTCTGTACCCATTCGTGTACCCTAAATTAAGAACAAAAATGACAAAAGAAAATTTATATATGTAAAATATTAATTTTTTAATCATACAAGGAGTCGATCAAATGCTGATGGACAACCGCCACGTTGAACATGACCAAGAATAGTTACTCGCGTATCATATTTAAGTCGTGTTGAAATAAGCTTATATTAAAAATATCAATTATTAATTAATTATTTACTATGAAAAATAAATTTTACTTGACGAACACTATCACTTGTTATTGGATTACCATCAGAATCAATAGCACCTTCAGCAAGAACAATAATATTTAAACGTTGTCCCATTTCACGTGTCTATTTAAACAAAAAATTAATTATAATTAAAAGCAAGATATATATATATATGAACTTACATTTTTAAGTTTATTACATAATTGATCTTCCCATCCTGGTTCAGGTGGTGATTCAGGAATAAATACCCAATCAGCATCTGATCCAAGAGCAGTAACCAATGCTAAATAACCACAATGACGACCCATTACTTCAAGAACAAAACAACGTTGATGACTATAATATAAAAAAAAAAAGAAAAAAGTATCATTAATTTTTAAATAAAATCAATTAATTCTTTCATATTTACCTTGAAGCTGTTGTTGTAATACAATCAATAGCTTCCATAACACGATGTAAAGCTGAATCAGCTCCAATCGTCATATCTGTACCACAAAAATCATTATCAATCGATCCGACAAGACCAACAATATTTAAATTTTTATATTTATTAGCATTTTCTTTTGTAATTTGATCTAGAATATAAATAAACATTTTTCTTCTAATACAAAGTTTAAAAATAAATCTTTCATATTTACTTGTTTCAACAAGTTCTTGTAAAAGACTATCCCATTCTTTACGAAATAAATTAGCACCAGTTAATGAACCATCACCACCAATACATACAATATTATTAATACCATGATCAATTAAATTTTTTGCAGCACGTAATCGACCAGGTCTTTCACGAAATTCTTTACAACGTGCACTACCAATAATTGTTCCACCCTAGATATTTATTAAGAAGATAATCATTCTATTTAATTAAAACATAAAAACTTTAAATTTATTTACATCATCAAGAATTCCAGAAACAGCTGCCCATGTTGCTTGACGAATACTATTACCACCATCGACTAGACCTTGATAACCCTATTCAATAAAAATTTTAAAAAAATATCGAATTATTCCATTCTATTAAATAGATATAATCTTTTAACCTCATGTATAAAATAAACTTTACAACCAAGATAAATACCCATACGAACAATAGCTCGAACAGCTGGATTCATTCCTAAAATAATATAACAATTTAATAATATTCTCATATAACAAGTAATTGGAAATTTTTCCAACAAAATGTTTGTTTCACTTTTAACTGACTAGAAAGTATTTTTGTCAAGTCAAAAGGTATAAGTTTGTGCTCTTGCCGAATATGAACTTAGAAATTTTGTTTCACTTTTTATTCAAGAGTAGTAAAATTATAGGTCCATAAGATTTCAAATTTATCCCGTTTTACGTTTATGTTTATATACATTTTAAAGCTGTAAAAATATTTTGGTCATTTTAGTCCCTTTAGTCCGTTACGGTGTGGATGGATGAAGAAAACATGCCCATTCACACATGCACACCAAAAAGAACTAAAGAGATTAAAAGAAAGTACAACAAATAAATGGAGTAAAGAGTAACAACTATGAAAGTCAGGGTAGCTTGAAAAGCATAAAAGTAAAACGGGAAAAATGTAATTCCTCGTAGATTCCTGAATGAAATAATCTTTGAAAAGCCCAAAAAATTAGGTTAAATAAATCGTGTAGGGCAACGTTTCGGATGAACATGCTTATTCATTTTGGCCTGCTTGAAAGCGTTTCAGGACATGTCGTGACCCGGAACTTCAATATGGACTAAGAAATGTTGTGCCTATTTCTGTTCGAGAGTAGTGAGAAACTTGTTAAAAGACATGAAAAAATATTTTCAATAGCGACTTCTCAGGTTTTTGTTTACCCTATAACTCTCTTTTTGAATATGAGAAAAACTTTCGGACTCAATCATTTTGTAGAGCGAATAGTTCTCCATAGAATGTGAAATCGAACTAAACTGGAGCTTTTATCCGAGCATTTTTTTTCAAGAGCTGCTTTCAGCGTAAAACGTTTTTCGATTTTTCAAAAGTGAGTATTTAGGAAAAATGAAAATTGAAGTATCGTGTCGAAAAACACAAAAAAATAGTGTACTTTGCAGAGATTTTCTGCACAGGCTAATTTTTTTTTCTGAACTTTTAAAAGATTATTTTACTACTCTCAAATCAAATTTCTGTCCAAAAAAAGAGAACAAACATCCTGTCTAAAAGTTTTCCAATCATTCGTTAGTAATATATTGTTAAGCCAATGTATATACCTTGTGCATCTCCACCACTTGTAAATACACCCATAGCACGTCCTGGATATTTATCTTTAGCAAGAATATGAAGGTTTTGTTCAAAACCTTCAACCCATGAAACTGAACCACGATATTTACTGAATGGAGTATTCATTAATATTGATGGTGTTTCAGGACTTGTACCAATGATATCTGATCTAAGTTCACCAAGCTTATCACTCTAAAGACAATATATAAGTTTATTAGATTAAGATCAGAACTTTAATTGACTAATGAGCGAATATATATATATAAGCGATAAAAATGAATAAGTATGTTGTGAAAGGAAAACACACAGATGCTCGATGGGCAGTAGCTATCTACTTTTACATGTTATACCAATTGATTTCCTGCGTCTGTTCAATGAATCAATTCATAATTTGCATAATTTCATTCTGTTATTTTTCATAATTACTTGACGTTTCCTGGGAAATAATTGTATATTGTTTTTTATGTTACATGCATGATTACTCATAATGATAAATATTTAACTTATATAATATATAATGCACAAGAATGAAAAGAAATTACTTGATATGGCTAATAGATATAAGAAAAACACAAAATAATAATAATAATGATAGTGCATATTAGATGTGAGTAAATGAGGAAAGGTGAAAGAACAAGTTGTTTAATATCACACTGTATTTCTTTCAATTTCAAATAGAAGGACGAAAATTGAACAAATAAACACAAGTGTTAGGATGTATTTACTTTTCCCTTGAATTGTATGTCACTTATAGATGTTGTGCTCAGACGAGGATGGCGCTGCAAGAATTATTATTTTTGACACAAAAACAAAAATATTACAAAATTAGCCTGATGATAAATCAATTTTTTTTTGAAAAATATTTTCATTTAAAAATAAGAAATCTGTTTATTAGCAAAGAATCTATTTGTAATATTTATTACAGCATATATATGGCTATGAGATCAATGATTACCTATTTGAAAAATATCTGTATACATGCTACAGAATAATCGGATTAATAGTCAGTTAGACTCTAGTGCAACTAACTGCAAAAGTCTCTATATCTAGTCGATAAAAGAAAAAAATTATAAATCAAAATACATATTTGCTTACTTCTTCAAGAGCTTCAAGCTCTCCACGTTTTTCTTCTTTAATTGGTTGACTAGATGATGAACTATCAACAGGTCTTTTTTCTGCTTCAGCCATATCAATATATTTTTAAAAAATTCACAATCTTAAAGCAAAGAAAAAAAAAGGAACAATAGAACAGACTTATAATACATATCAATCAAGTTGAATAAATAATTGTTTTTAATAATTAAGAAAAGAAAGAATTAAATAATTGAAATTGCAACATCACTGATTAGCCACTATTTTTTTGTCTAACATGAATATTTTCTTTCAATAATACTTCTTTGTTTTTATTGCATCGGTGAATTTTGTAATGGTACAAGTATCTTTGATTCCATTTTACGAATTAACCGCACTGTATATTCAACACTAAATAATAATAAAAAAAGAAGAAAATATTCTTTATCAAAGAAATAGCTGTTAGCATGATCTCTATCAGATTAATATTTGAAATACAATGTAGCTTCCGTTGATAATCAAATGGAGATTGTTTTATTCCATCTATCTTGGGTCATATTTCTTCATCATCCTTCTACAGAAATTCAATAAGAAAGTAGTTCATATATTATAACGAAACGTTATTCGTATAACATCTGTGATTGCTGTGGTGCGTGGAAACAGAGATAAAACCGATTATATTCCTAGGTGAAATGTTGTTAAGGCGGTTGTCACGGTTTGTGCCGCGGAAAACATGGAACCAGCACTGGTTACAGGTCAGTCGTTACTAATCGGAATAGGGTACTGGCTGGTCTGATCCGAACTGACCAGTTCTATCTCTGGGCGAGATGTTACTAAAACTTCTTTCACGGTCTACAATGACTCATTGCTTAGATGCCTGTTAGAACTGTGGAAAAGTTCAAAGTCCTACTTCTATACTTCATTGTTCCTTTTAGATCGTGTTTCAGAAAAGAAAGAGATTGAATATGTTCAAACATACTTTTCTGACCAACCAGGTTTAGCCCACGCATTAGTACGCATTTGTTTTCTATGTTGAAAATTTTGATATGACCACATATGATGAACATTATAGAGTTCACCAATTTGTGAAAAAACGCCAAGAACTTTTGCATCAGGTCGATATTGTACACCTTTATGCCATAAGTTTCCCCATTCAATTAATGTGCCAGGTTTAAGCCAATATGAACGCATTTCATAGATATTTGGATTTGATTGATCATCAGATTTTGATCGCGGTTGGGGAATTCCTATAATTAAAAAGAAAGAAAAATCTTTAATAAAAACAGATTTTTTTTTGTTTTTGTTTTCAAACCAAAATAAGAAAATGGAAGACAAATTTGATTTGAATGTTGAATAATATGTTCATTTAATTTATTTGAATTTAAATTTGGTTTTGAATTATCAATAAATTTATCCAAATGAGCAAAATTTTTATACATCCATATATGTACATATTGATTTCGTACATTACCAATATGTACTCTCCATGATCCAGTGTGAACAAGACCAGTTGAAGAATATTTCTCCATTAATTGTGATGTATAGTCATTAAAAACTAATTCATAGTCATTCTAAACGAATAACATATCGTTGTATATATGCAGTCTTGTTGAAAGAATAATGTATTACATATCTTGCTGTTAGATATTTACACTGAAAGTGTAGATTTTTTTACTTCATTTCTAACGATTTCGAAATTCGTTAGTGTAAGCAACAAATTTACATGTATGAGTCTAGATAAATGTAACCAATAAACTTTTATAGAAATATGTTAAAAAAATAGTAAAAAAACAAGTCTATGCATTTTTCTCTTGTTTTTTTTAAAGAAGTTTCATGCTGTTTACATGATACTTCTACACATATTTTCTGTTGTAGTTGAAGTTTGACGTTTAAAAGAATTCGAATGTTTTTATTTTTTGTTGCTTCTATTCGAGGGCTTCAAATGTTAAGTCGTAAAAAAATGTACCTGCCCTTCTAAAGGCATCATAAATGTTGAAATTAACATTTTAGTTATTTATCCAGCCACAATCATTTTTCTCGTCCATTATTTTACAATAACGAAATTCGAAAACTAATCGAATGAATTCAAAACTTTTCGTTGATATATGACATTCAAAGTTTTGAAGCATATTAATCTCATGTTGTAATGAGTAATGCAAGACAAAAAAGCCTTAAAATTGCCTCAAGCCTTTTATTTTTATTTAATTTCGATATTTGATTCAAATCAAATTTTAAAGAAATTTATTTACCATTGCACTTGGTTTCACAATATGATGTTGAACTTCGAAAACATGTTCACTATTTGTTAATGAGTTAGAAGGTGCATTTTTAGCTTTTTCAATTGGTTTCGATAGCAAAGGAGTAGATAATGTTCGAATAATAAATTTTCCAAATTTTGGTTGAATTGAATATAAAAATTTTAATGTCTGATGATTTGATAAATACATCATTAATCTAGAAAACAAAAACAAAATTCTAATTTGTTTTTTTTTTGTCTATGCAATTTTATTTATCGATCAAAATCCTTTTTCTTTTAAAAAATCAGCTATCCATTCTTCATATTCTCCATCAACAAGTATATGTCGTTTGATTTCATCAACTTGTGATAAAATAGGTAATTCTTTTGATTTATCATTTATTAATTCTACACGTTTAGTTAAATAATTTTTTAAATCATGATCTAATGCCCATATATCACCTGATATTAATTCAAGTAAACTAAAACGTCTTGTTCGTTGAGCATATATATCATATTCAACACGACGACGAAATATATTTAAATAATAACGATGTTGTTCATGTAGCCAATATTCAAGCATAACAGGTAATATACGTACATAGAGTGCATATGAATGAAAACGATCTCGATCAACAAAATATGGCCATTGACGAGCTAATGTTGGATTAGGTGGAATCCAACCTGATGGTGTTGGATGATTAGGTGGTTCGGGTATTTTAGATTTAAAAAGAATATTATCTACCCATTCCCAACCATCTTTTGTTGTTTCATATCCAGAAATAAATTTAGGTTTAGCTCCATTTTCAGTTAATTCATTAGGTATTTCAGTAATAGATTTACGAGGTTGATTTTCATATTCTTCTGTGCCCATTGGATGTGAAGGAAATTGACCATTTGATGACCAAAAACGAAGAGAACCTTTAGTAATTATTGTCGATGGACATCGACGAATGATATTTTGAAGAACAAGAGACATTCTGAAATTAGAATAGAAAATAAGACTTTCCTTTTATGGAAACATAATCTATTTGTCAGACAACCATGTCGACTTGTAAGGAAATCTTTTTTCCATATTGTCTTTTCTGTAAATAATTAATAATATAATAAACGTCATTTATTTATTCGGTATCCATTACAAAATCTGGATTATTTTAATAAAGCATTTATATAAAATCGATCACAATCATTATTTATTTATTTTCCAAAGTATTTTCTCTTTGAACGATCAAAAACATTGTTTACTTGTGGAAATATTATATAAAGTTGAAGGTCCCTTATCTTAACCAATCAAATCTAAATAATTGGCCTTTCGTTATACAGATGTCCGTAGGATCAATTCTGTCTATTACTTTTTTTCTTTCATCTTCTCTCTTTCTCTTTCTCCATGAGCAACAGTGCGCACATTTTTCTGCTTGGATGCTCTAAAGGTGACCGATAGAATGTGCAAATACAAAAAAAAGAAGCAATTCAATTGGTTTTGCTTATTGGAGACACCAATCACAACGCTTGATTCAGTTGTAGTTTGCGCAGAGTATTTTTATTTCGGAAGGTTAATCGCTGATACATAAAAACAAAACAGACAAAATTAACATGAATATTTCTCGTGAAGGAAAAGGTTCAAATGAAAGTAAAAATAAAATAAAAAAACATATAATTTATAATTAAAAATTTGTATTTAAATACAGTCACATCATCTTCAAAAGTTCTAGTTAATGAGGCTATTCATGTACAACCAACATATGTACGAATTTCTCATTATTTTATATGTTCACTTATTTCAACTATTTGTTTTTGTCCAGCAACAGGTAAAAAAAGAAATAACATTTTTTTTTAGTTTAATTTAATTAAAGTTTTTGTTCGAAGGTCTTATTGCATTGGCTTATTCACTAAAAAGTTCGGCTAAAGCTGATGTAAATTTTCATGATAAAGCTCAACGTTATTCTCGTTATGCTTTAACGTGGAATATAATTTCAATTATTCTTGGTACTGCTATGATAATCTTCGTATGATGTTTTGCCTGATAGATTTTTTGAATATAAAAAGTTATTTTTTTTTCTTTTAGACTATTTTCTACTATGAAAAAATCGAAATGAAGTCAAATCATGTTCATACCATGTTTCAACAACCACGATATCAGAATATTCATTAATCATTACAATTGATTATGAATAATTAATGGAATATTTTTTAGTTTGTTTCAAAAGACTAAAACTCAAAACAGAAAACAAAAGTAGTGATCATTTTAAAATAATCTCTTTTTTTTTTTTTTTTTGCTTTTACGTTCTTCTACTTATTCTTTCTAATAGATAAACAAAAATTAAATAAAAATAATTTTTTAAAATTCTTACAATGAAAATATCCGCATTTTAATCTACTGTTTGAACTTATATTGGACTTACAAGAAGATCTCAGTAAGACACTAGAAAAATCTTAAAAGTACTCGTGCTTATGAGCTTTCAGAGCTGAGTTATGATTGTAGAGATAGATCTAACGATCTTTAAAATATCGTAAAAGTTTTCAGCCGAAAACAATATTCTTTTATCAAGATTTTGAATTTCCAACTTTCGGCTGAAATTTGCAGGATATTCTAAACGTTATGAGGCATACCTATGGGTCGAAAATTCAGCAACATGGATATAGCTTGGCTGTAAAAAACTACGGGCACGAATCCTGTTCAACTTTCTCTAGTCTTATCGAAAAAGAAGAAGAACATCCCTACTTTTCAGCTACACAGAGATATGAGGTAGTTTCTAGTGACAGACTCAATAGGCTGATATCTTTCCTACAATTAATACTAGCTGTAGCTTTGAACTAGAGCTCATCTGGTTCAAGTTCTTTGGATCCGGATCCTAGCAGATTCGGGACCAAGTGCTAGACAAACAGCCGTTAGTAACTTGCCTAGGGTTATTTCATAGATGGGTAATAGGGATCTTTGCCCACAGTACCTTATGGATATGTCTTGAAGAACGTAGCTACTTAGCCATGGTGATATCTTACTGAGACTTCTTCGTGAGCTCAATGTGAGTTCAAGTGAGCAATTGTAATTCGGGTAGTTAACTCGTTACTAAAAAAAAAGTTCGATAGGTAAAAATCAAAAATAATAACACACTCGATCTTATGTCAGTATAACCGATAAAGAACGTCAAATACCTATGATGATAAAAACAACGATGAATCATGTTGTATACGTGTCACTAAGTCTTAAAATCAACATGCTTAACAATAGTTTTATAATATCATGATGGTAATACAAATTCTTCTATATACATTTGTAACAATTATTTTTCTCACATTTGTGATTATTTATTACAAACTTATTCATCCAGAAAAACGCTTGTATGCTATATTTCGTGAACAAGGTGTTAAGTGTGAACCATTTGTACCATTAATCGGGCAACTTCCACAAATTCGTCGATCTCGAAAATTTGGTTCACCCATGGATTTTCATCAAAAATTAATTCAAAAACATGGAAATATATATATATTTGGTTTTGGTCCTGTAGTACGTCTTATGATTAATGAACCTGATCTACTTGCTGACATACTTGATCGAAAAAATGCACGAAATTATACGAAATCACTAACTGCTCATATAATCTTAGCTCCGATTATTGGAGATCATAATTTATTAGTAGCTGAAGGTGATGAACATGAACGTGCACGACGAATGATTAATCCTGCTTTTTATCATACGAATCTTAAATCAATGATTTCAATTATGACTGATCAAACTGCTAAAACTATTCAATCAATACTTATGACGTCAGATTCTCATGAACACAAAAATCAATCAATTGATCTGCCAATTCTTTTCAACACTCTTACACTTTCAATAATTGTATCGACTGCATTTGGTTCAGATCTCAAAACAGATACGAATGCAAAACATGTTATGTGTCAAGTATTTGCCAATGTATTGGATGCTATTCTATATCGTTCGATGTATATGATAAATTTATTACCACTTCTACCAAAATTACCTTTTTGGAAAAAGAACGTTATTGATAATGGAACTCGAATGATAACTGAGTTAGTTAATCAAATAATAGCTGATCGACGACAAGGACATTCAAGTAGTCTATCTAATGGTCCTGATCTTCTTGATTTACTTCTTTCAGCTGTTGATAATGAAGGAAAACAGTTTTCGGATCAAGAAATTAAAGATCAAGCTCTTACATTTGTATTAGCTGGAAGTGAAACTACTGGTAATCTTATGACATGGATGTTTTATGTTTTAATGACTCATGACGATATTTTTGAAGCTTGTCGAGAAGAAATCGATAGAGTTTTACCTAATGGTATAGAACCTACGAATGAAAATCTTTCAGAATTAGTCATATGTGAAGCTATAATCAATGAAACACTTCGTCTTTATCCACCGGCACCATTTTTCTCGCGTCATTGTATACATGAACATGTTATTGGCAGTGAACGTCAATTACGGGTACCTGTTGGAACGACAATAACTGTCAACAGTTATCTTCTTCATCGTCGAAATGATTTATGGCCTCACTCAGAAGAGTTTGATTATACACGTTGGATGCGTGATCCTAAAACAGGTTTGAAACCAAAATTACCTCATCCATTTGCTTTTCTACCATTTGCTGCTGGTACACGTGGCTGTATTGGACAAAATTTTGCTTTATTAGAAGCAAAAATTATTTTAGCTATGTTTGTTCAACGATGTAATTTTGAAATTATACCAGGACAAAAAATAATACCCGAAGTTAAAATTACAATGCGTCCTAAATATGGTCTTTTAGCAAAAATTAATAAACGTTAGATATTAATGGATATTTATCAAGTACAATAGACTTATGTGAACAGTGCATCTAATTCGAATATCAATATTGACTTATAAATAAATTTTTCTTACAGTTTTTTTATGAATATCTAATAAAACATGTGCACTGACAAATAATATGCAGTGAAGTTTTTAGATTACTATTTTGCATCTTATGAAGACTTATTATAAATCATTAGAAATGTCATAATACCACTTATTCCTTAATTATTCAGAACGTTTCTTTGACATCCTTAAGAGGTTATATTTTTCAATAATTCGTTAATCAAATATTTTCAACAAAAATATTTGAAAAAAAAAACTTTTTTACATACATATTTGGAAAATTGTCTAATGATTTGTAACCAATTGAATGCTTGCGGAATTCTGGAAGAAATAGATAGAGAGCAGTCGCCACATCTAAAGATTAAAAGAAAATTAGAAAATTTCTTCCTCATATAAAAGATGAAATATCATATATCACATGGCTATTAGGGGAAATAATAAAATAAGTATTTGATACTGTTGGTATTACTTTCAACTGAATAGATATTGACATGATTAGAGCATCAAAATTAAAATAAATATCAATGATTTAATATTATATGCAGTTGATTGTAAATTTGTTAAGTTTTTAATAAGTGCGATAATTCTAATTAATCTTATTCTGACATATGTTACTTTTACTACACTATTAATTAGAGCTCGTAGAATGTAAAACTTTCAGATTCGATCAAATCGTACTTTGATGCTCTCAATGAATTTTTTTCTAATCCAAATTGGTTTGTCGCTCGGATGATACAGGATATTTTTTTCCGATTTTTTTGTATTCGGTGACTGGCGCACCCTACATATTTGTCAAACGACTAGAGCCTATCGAATCCAAAATCTTCGGACCTGAATTGACAGAGAACTTTCATATTCGGACCCGAGTAAATACTGACGACAGAGACATAAATTGAAAAAGATTGTAAAAATTATTTTGATTAAAACGCTCGAAGAATTTTTAGTCGCATTTTAAATGACACAAGCTATTAGAAAAAAGAAAGTAAAAAAAAGTGATAAAACAGATTTTTATATTACCGTAAACTAAAGAATATATCGAATATAAATAATAAGTAGATTTCTTCGAAGAAAAAAAAACCAAATTAAACGAATCATTTTATCAAAATATATTTTAGCTCGAAAATATTATCAGACATGCAGTTGTTTTCTCGTCAAGGTCATGCCCCCTACCTAAGAACATATATAAAAATGCATTTAGTAATACTAATATCCAGATAAATATATTGACTTGTTTTTTTCTTTCTTTCGTGACATAAAATCTGCCCACCTTGCACCAAAACTAAACCTGCTTACATTTTAAAAACATTGCCTATATTTTATGTCTTATTTTATAGAGAATGTAAAAATTACCTGTAATTTATTACCTTATGAATTATTATTGCAATGTTGTTCCAAATTGTATTCTACATATTTGTAATTATTATCCTAGTCACTATTGCTATTATCTATTTAAAAATAATTCGCCCTGAGAAATATATCTATGATATATTTCGTGCACAAGGTATCAAGGGTAAACCATTTGTGCCTTTAATTGGTCAACTTCCTGAAATCCGTCGATATCGACAGAATGACACATTTATGGCTTTTCTTGAATCTTTAGCACAAAAATATGGAAATATATGTTTATTCTGTTTTGGTCCATTAACACGTCTTGTCGTTAGTGAACCGGATTTACTTGCCGATATATTTAGTCGAACAAATGTACAAAATTATACTAAACCACCTTTATTTGATACTGTCTTGGTTCCTATTATTGGTAAACATAATTTATTAGTAGCTGAAGGTGATGAACATGAACGAGCACGACGTATGATTAATCCTGCTTTTTATCATACGAATCTTAAATCAATGATTCCAATTATGACCGATCAAACTGCTAAAACTATTCAAAGACTTTTTCAAACATCAACTTTAGATCAACAAGAACAAATATCAATTGATCTACAAAATCAATTTAATGCACTTACACTATCTATTATAGCATCGAGTGCATTTGGTACATGTGTTGAAACAATTACAAATGCTCAAGAGATTATTAATAAAACATTTGGTGAAGTACTTGAAGCTATTCTCTATCGTTCATTACATATGATTAATCAAATACCTTTTATATCAAAATTTCCTTTCTGGAAGAAAACTATTGTTGATAATGGAGGTCGAATGATAGCTGAGTTGGTTGATAAAATAATTGCTGATCGACGACAAGGACATTCAAGTAGTCTATCTAATGGTCCTGATCTTCTTGATTTACTTCTTTCAGCTGTTGATAATGAAGGAAAACCATTTTCTGATCAAGAAATTAAAGATCAAGCTCTTACATTTGTATTAGCTGGAAGTGAAACTACTGGTAATCTTATGACATGGATGTTTTATGTTTTAATGACTCATGACGATATTTTTGAAGCTTGTCGAGAAGAAATCGATAGAGTTTTACCTAATGGTATAGAACCTACGAATGAAAATCTTTCAGAATTAGTCATATGTGAAGCTATAATCAATGAAACACTTCGTCTTTATCCACCGGCTGCAGTCTTTACACGTTATTGCATACGAGAACATACAATTGGCAGTGAGAATAAATTACGTATACCCGTCGGAGCAACTATTATTGTGAATAACTATGTTCTTCATCGTCGAAGTGATTTATGGCCTCGCTCAGAAGAATTTGATTATACACGTTGGATGCGTGATCCTAAAACAGGTTTGAAACCAAAATTACTTCATCCATTTGCTTTTCTACCATTTGCTATCGGTCCACGTAATTGTATTGGACAAAATTTTGCTATATTAGAAGCAAAAATTATTTTAGCTATGTTTGTTCAACGATGTAACTTTGAAATTATACCAGGACAAAAAATAGTACCGGATTTAAAAATTACAATGCGACCAAAATATGGTCTTTTAGCAAAAATTAGTAGACGATAAATAAATATGAACTCAAAATAATCCAGTAGAATGCATTATTTTTTTTTAGAATATATTTAGGATTTCTTTTTTTTTTCTATTCATATTAATAAGAAATGATTCATTAATTTTGATATGAAATTAAAATGTATCTGAAGTCAATGATAGACAGATTAGTGTGCCGTAGAAATGAAAAATATTGAAGGAAAAGAATAAAAAAAAACTGATGTTTCTAATTAATGATGACTCTAAGCACACGTAATTTTTTTTCTAGATGGGTATAGGTGAGAATGAAGAGAAGACGTACATTCCATAGCCATAGCTACACCCTCGATTGTAGCAATAGATGTGTTAGTAAATGAACATGAAATGGGTAAGCAAATATTTTTCTTATGTGTTTAGTCTTAATTAGCGAATTGTTTTCATTGATTTTAAAGATACTGGATTTAACAAAGCATTTCGAGCTATTACATCTACAATTCCAGCGACACGATCTAAAGAAATTTTCGACCTTTCTACAATCAACCGATTGATCTATATTATTTTATTCAAATCAATGGATTTAATTTGAACAATGGTATTTTTTTTTAGAACAGTTCAATCTCATTCATTTCGATTTTTTTTCTTTAAAACCATTGAAATATTTATTTAATTACGATATCATATTCTATGATACTTAGTGTTGTTTATAAGCAAAGGGAAAATGTTCATTTTTAACTACGTTCAAAAAAATATGAACCAGATTCAATAAGTAGATAAGTTTAATACACATGAACATCGAACAAAGCAAGAAGAAATATGATTATAAGAAGCCCAATATTGTTTGCATGTATTATTACAGTATAAGAGTGAATAGTTTGTTTTTTTTTTAATTCGGTTATGCTGATCTCTTCCTCTGTAATGTATAGCAAATGTTCCAAAGTTGTGTTTAAAGCAGTTATGTATATTTTATCTAGCAAATAACGAAATAAAACTTCTTTGTTTTTAAAATTATTAAACAATAAAAATAGTTTCATTATAATACCTTTCTCTATACGAACACATTATATTAGTTCAACTTTATTTTTTAATTAACAATTTTTTTATGTCCCGATATCTCTAAAATATTCAAGCGATTTATGTGCATTTGTTTTCTAATATGATCGTATGTTCGATCAAGTTTTATTTCAAATAATTTAATCTAAAAGAAAATCCTTTAAATGATTACTATCTCCTGTAGAATATGACTCGATTTATTTCGAAGTATTCGAAACAACACAAAAGAAAGTTCTGTTTTTTTTTTAATTAATTTTTATTATATGTTCTCATTTTTGAGTTCAGTCAGATCTTGATATATGTTGTATATACATTAGTTTTCACTGTATATTTATTTATAAACTATTTAAATAGGAGCAGCCTCAAATGAAAAAACAAGAGTTTTCCTGATTATTCATATCCTCTAACAATGATATAAAAGTTATATAATCTCAACTCAATCTTGTAAATATCCTTGATAAAGTTGTTGGACAGATTATACTTTTCATGTCTTCATTGGAAGATATTCAGTCATAATGCGATTTATTATTGCTCCCGAAGTAAAGATTGGTGTTGTAATGGCCCGATACAATCAATAGTGATTTTTCCACAAACATGATGAACGCCGTCGATATTTTTCTTCTGCAATTTTTTAAGTGAATTCAGAGCATTTTCGATCTGATACTATAATAATTTCATAAAAGTATTGAAAAGTATCTCTAATGTTGTTTACGTTTGTGTGCTGAATTCGACTCAAATTTTTTCATTTCGCAACTATGTGTGACTCAAAATTGATCATTAATAAAACTATTTGGATTCTAATATTTGTAACTACAGACGATCATCATAAAATATATAGAATAAAATATCAATGAACATACTATCATATTCTAAGAAAAAAAAACTACTTAAACGTCTTCAACTGATTAACAGATATTCACATTTGTTTTTACAGCGGACATGTGGAATATCCTGTATATTGGTAGCATAAAATATTCATTCGAAATATAAAACATTCACTACAATAGAGATTAAATAAACATTGAAAACAAAATTGAAAGAATATATCATTGACTTTATTTATCATTAGAAGAATAGACAAAAAGTTGTTAGTTCATAATTACTCATGTTTCATACAAATGTATTAAAATTTTATTTGATATGAGTTTCGAAATAAAACCATTCATATAATTGTTTCACATGCATTTATCGTTTTTTGATAGATAATATTACATACAAAAATTATTTTTTAAAAGTAAAAAAGAAATTTTACTAAACATTTCATATTATTAACTGTTTATAGCATAAATTTTGCAACATACTACAGTCGTGGACAAATTTAGCTGCCTTCCATGAAGTCCTGCCATTATTTATGATATCGAGTGGATATTTTGGATGCATATGTCCGACAAAAAATTCTGATGACAAACATCGACACGCCCTCCATGGGTTCACATGTATTGGACTTATGATTCAAGCATCATCTTCCTTTTACGATCATCTTATATCAACTATATTGATACAAATATATTCATTCAAGTTACAGGTCAAACATCCAATGTCATAACTATTTTGAATTGGAATTTTGTTAGAAATCACTTTAAAATAACTGACATATTGTCTTCCAATTAAGAATGTCTGTTGAAGAGGAAATTATGGTTTTTAGTACGATGAATCTTTTCAATGATGATTTTGATCAATTCATTTAAAAATTTTAGCAGGAAATACTCATGAGACGATGAGTCTGTCCTGAAAGTTTTAGGGATGTAGCGCTGAATGAAATCGGATTAGTATTACGATATAGGTTCATTATCTTATGGCGCACTAATTACTGAGACTACCAACATCCACATCCAGAAATATATTCGAATCATTACAAAATAGAACTGTCGTCGCATCAGGTCATGTAAGACAAAACTTGTACAATTCAATAATGCGAAAACTGATTAGAGACCAATACATCATGAGAATTACTATAAGTTTCACCATTTCAATATGGAATGAACTGTGATATCATTGGTCGTGGAACCACTCGATACGGTATTGAGTCGAGGATATGATAACTTCCTATTTCCAGGAGATTCAAATTTCTGCACATCATTATTTGATCAATGATACAAACTAAACAATACTGCTACAAAGGTTTAGACAAAAAGTCTATGATGTATAGCTGACATTGGATTTTACAAATTCAATTGAAGTTATACAATTCATAGTCTGGTGTTGGGTTGGGTAAGGAAGTTTAATTCTTCTATGACAACTATATAGAAATGAAGTGCATATCTTCGGAGGTTGCTTGAGTTATGAAGGGTATGGGCGTAAACAAGAGCCATATCTACAACAATACCCCCATCCTCACGCCTTTATATCGACTTTATCCTCTTCTTAGTTGCGCATTTGTGAGCTAGTTAACATTTCATTATAAATATATTTTAGGAGTCAAAGAAAAAAAAACAATCACCTTATAGCGCTAATCTCTAATGCTAATATTGAAGTTACTCAATGAAGCATTTGAGATTAGTCAGCGGTAGTCCGATGGATATCCAGACTCAGCCTAAAAATTATACACTTCATTACAATATACTATTTATATTAGAATCAGTTTTCTACGCTTACGTATCAAAGAACTGAATTATATTTCCCTGAGGTTTTCCTCAGAGTTATTTTACTTGAATTTCCTGGAAAAAGGAACACACCATGTCAAAACTGAAGTCATCCACTAGATGACGTATGTCATCAACAAAAGACATGGCTCATATTTTTGAGTAGTCAAGTAGAATAGTTCTATTTTCTATTACTATATACGCTACAAATCATCTTTGCTTCTTCCTCTTGACGATGCAAAAATGAAAATCGATTAGAATACTCAGAGTAATGTGGATGCATCATAACAAATCAATGACTCTTGAACAAACATCTATGTAGACCATTGTCTTCGGTTTTTTTTATATCTTTCACCGAAAACAATAAATCTTTTCGTTTAGTTCTATAACAAAAAAAAATCAGGATTTGCTTTAGATGTTTCATGTATCTTGCTCAAATCAACTATCGAACAAATCAAGTCAAGAAAAAACAAGATTACTTTATTTCAAACAAAACAAAAAAGATTCCTCCTCCGTTGTAACAGAGATGACCAAACATGCACTCTAAGGCAATGTATCACAAGATTCTGTGGCTACTAACTCAGTAATTTCTGTAGCAATACTTGGTAATAAATATAATTTAGATGATTCGAAATTTCAGTCAATCGATAAACGTAATTCAATGCGTGCAAAGCCAATTAGAATCTACAAAGCAAAATTCAAAAACATCTGGAACAATAAGAACTTTTAGATGAGAAGGCTTAGGTTCGCGTGTGGGCGAAGTGTATATAGATGTCCTCTTCACTAATACTTGTCCCCATCTAATGTCTACAAATTAGAAAAAATCCAAGTAAAATCTATTCGACGAAGATATACCCGAGCCACCTAATGCAAGCCTGAACGAAAGTGTGTATGTGTTGCCAATCAATGCCGTGAATGATTGAGCCAAAAAATCAATACCCGAGGGAGCGAGACAATTATCCATAAAGGAATTGCCCGTTGAAAGATAGCAGACAGAACCGGATGTTATCACTCCACTCGAACAGCCACATGTGCTCGTACACAATTGTGTCCAACCTGTTGGCGTTGCTGTTGAACTTTCAAAGCCCGGATTGCTCAATAATTCAACACTAGGTGAGCTGACAGAAACAACAGATACTGAGTCCAAATAGTAAAAACGATTGTTCTCATTTTGAAACCCAAAAATAATTGAAGGCGACGTGTTCACCGGCGTCACGTTAAATCGATATTGGGTCCAAGAATTAGGATTCGCTCCACTAACTGTCAAGACGCTTCCTCGCCCAGTTGAAGTGCAATTCACCACTATGATATACATAACAGAAAACTGATAAGATTTGCAGTAAGAATAACCTACCTGTCCCTGTTGTTGTTATTGCTGTTGTTGTTGTTGTGGTGGTGGTGGTG